CATGAACATTAAACAGAGAACCTTTCAACATCTATGAATTACTAATTGTAGTGAATTCTCGATATAGCGAACTCACGAAGGAATAAACTAAATTATTCACTATATCAAGAGTTGACTGTATACATAAAGAATTACAAGAAATCAATAAAACTGCTTACTATATCGAGTAGTCACTAAGCTAGATAATTGTGTCACCATCGGTGTGACATTTGTTCCCTTTTCCAGTAGTTGCTTAGCAACTGTGACGTAATAACACGTCAATCACTGCAGTGCTGCTATGATAACAATGAGCAGAGAGGAACTTAGGGTGACTGCCATCTAGTAACATCCTTTATAGTTAAAAATTTGTATAAAAAAAGAGAGAGAGGGGGGGGAAATTAATTTTATAAGTTTCTAAATTGTATTTTTTTAAAAATAAATTTGTAGGTATGTCTGGCTGTCTGTCTGTCTATGTTTTTTTTTTTTTAATCCTTTCAGACAAATATTCATTCACTTAAATGCAAGTATATCATTTTATATTAACTGAAAGCAATTATTTTAAAAGCATAATTAATGTTTTATTTAATGACAGTTTGGAAATCTGAATCATTTTTCTTTTCTGGTTGTGAGTAATCATAATCTCATTAAAGAGAAAATATATTTTTTTTTTCTTCCTCCTCCTCTTTTCTAAATTATGGTTATTGTGTTCCTGTTTAAAACTAAAAGAGAAAAAAACAAATTATTATAAAAAAAAAAAAAATACTAAACTAGCATAATGACAAAAAGAACTGGTGAAGAAATTTTTTTACTTTATACTCTTAAATTTCTTTTTTTTTTCTTAACCTTTAAATCACTTTAGTGATGAGGTGAAAATATCTTCTACCTTGCTATTCCAGAATTTGACAATTTAAATTGTGAACTCTTACCTAAGGCCATTTAACTGAAGGATAAAAAAAAAATAAAAATAAATTGTAAAATCAATTCTTGAAAGTTGAGCCAACTTGTAAGGAAAGTCGAAGAATAAAAATATTCCCAGAAAGGATGATTTATAAAATAATTTTAATCAATGAAGATTATTTTTATCGAGTGATTGCACTTTTCTCTCTCTCTCTTTCTTTCCTTTCTTTTTCTTTAATTATTT